CACACGCTATCACATAAAATCTTTTGGAAAACTTTTTCAAAAAAATGTAAAATGCTTACAGGAGTATAGACGTGACACCCAGATTTTTCGTGATTGTCCCGAACATGCTTAAATGCAAATTTCATTTGACAACCAGGTAAGCTACAGGCAAATGGTTTTATTTCCAAATGCACAGCATTGATATGCATCTTGAGATTCGAGTTCTGCACCCAAAAGTGGGAGAGAAAAAAACAATTTATTAAGAAGCTTTCTCCTATAGACCCAACACCGAACAATTAATCCTTGTGCAAGAACATCAGAAAATGCAAAAAGGCAGTCTGGATAAAAGTATTACGTTTGAAAATGTTAGCAAGCATCCCTCAAAGCTACACTTGATTCTCTCAGAGGAAATCACCGACTCATGCACGCGCATGTGACGTTTAATGTTCTTTTTCAGCTGTTTTTTACCACATTTATCGCATGTCACATACTGATGACAGGACCTAATATGCTCCTTGAGGCACTTCACGTTTGTGAAATATTTCATACATCCGGGCTCTCCGCATAGTGCTTCCACCGAGTCTAACTTAACTGCATTCGACACAAATTTTTCACCAGATGGTCAAAAGAGAGGAATATATAACTACGTATATATATAATTCATCAAACCAAAAAATATCACCAGCTTGAGTATGAATGAAATTAAGTAACGCACCATGAGAACTCTCGTGTTTAAGCAATTGGGATCGATATTTGAAGGCCTTTCCACACCCGTTTTCTCCACAGATGTATTGCTTTCGAGTCTCAAGACTCTCAACATCATCAGAAGCAGGTTCTTCATGGAATTCTTTCAGATGACGTGTCATATTACCCTGATATGCAAATCGGTGCTTGCAGCTCTCAATTGGACATTCAAAGAGTTTTCCCTCATGATGAAGAATATGTCTCGATAAGTGGTCCTTCCTTCTGTAGCTGGAGTTGCAGTCATCCACTGGGCAAGCAAAAGGTCTCTGTAAAATAGGACAATTGTACTTTCAAGAAAGGAAGAATGACTAGCATCAGGAGTATTAGAGTATTAGACAGAACAAATTGTTGACTTTCGAACAAAGGCGAAAAAAAAAATATATATATACAGCCCCAAACCTCAATGAATAGCAAGCGTGATAGAGGCTCACTTGATGGAGCTTCTCAGGCGGTCCCCCACCTGATACTAATCCAATCAAGGTGATTTGTGCCTCACGCATTTTGGAGTTCTTTAAATTGGGATCCAATGCTTCACGCCCATCAACAAATTATGTTCCACCTTAACTTCAGTCTGCAAGATTTTAAGTTAACAATTGACAAGATGACAGAAATTATCAAACAACAGACTACACAAAATTGCATATGCTAAATACACAAAACAAAATCTCAACAATGGCAAGATGGTCATGACCCTCAGCAGCCAATCAATGAAGCACACAATTAGATAAGGTGAAGATACTGGTAATTTGCAGGTATTTCAACACACAATAGCTATGTCAAATATAAATCCACCCGAAAGAACTTCCGCGTACTGAAACATCATTAATGTAGCATGCAAACCTTCATTAGAATCACTTTCCCAAACAAAATGATGCAACAGGTAATGCTTTCGCATTTCACCACAATAATTCCAAAAGTAATTTCATCACAAATGATACATTATAAATTTACAGCTGCAGACTGATCTAGAACAAAGGATAATGCCCAAATAAACATATAAGAAAACAGATCAAAATTAGATTATAACCAGTATCTTTAGCTTCAAATGCAAGATTATCAAACAGTATGAAAAATCCACCGAAAGATTACANAAAAAACAACAACAACAACAGACCTCGAGAGAGTGAGACTGCATATGCTGCTTCAGATGAGCAGGTTTCCTGAAATTTGCGCCACACTCACCACAGATATTCAGCTTCTCCTCATGCCCTTCGTCCACTCCCTTCTTCTCCTTTACTTTCTCCTGCAATTCAAGAAAACCACATAATTAACACACACAAAAAAAACAACGCCATATTACAACAGTAGTTGCCCGAGCTTGGAACTCGTAAAACCCTAAAAGCAAAAACAGCGTACCTCATGCTCAGCTAGTATGTGACGAGCAATTAAGGATTTCTTAGATCGGCATATTCCACAGTACTCGCAGTAATATCTTCTGATGTCTCTGAAAATCGGACCTCGTGCTACCTCCTCTTCGTCCGCCATTTTTTTCAGCTCCTCTTCTGATTTAATGTTCACTTCCCGCATAAACTGAGCACGATTACACTCATAAACAGCTGCAATTGTACGTATAAACTGAAAGAATTGCAAAACTAAATTATGAAAGATAGATTATGAATATGCTTTGATTGGGAGGTGCAGAGAGTGAGGCGTTGATGTCTGCTTTTATCTGAGATTAAACCCTAATTTTATGTTCTTGAAGTGGGCTTTTAATAATTCAAAGAATAGGCCCATGGGAGGTTTATGAATCTTTCTGAGCCCATTGGGAGAGAGTGAATTTTATCACTTTTTCATTCCGGGAAATTTACATATCTAGACTCCATATAGGAGTTATTTTCACGTAAAGAATCAATGGAAAAATTTATCAAGAAGGGATTTGATGGAGATCTTATTTTCACAATTACGATGATAGCTACAAATGCGTTTCTCTCTCCAAAATTCGTTTCTTCTTTTTTCAAATAAATCCGTTTCTCCACAAATGTCTGTTTATATGTTTTTTTTTAATATATTAGATTAGATAAATCTATTTTTCTTTCCAATAAATCTGCTTCTCTCACCAAAATAAAAAGGCATTACTATTTACTGCCCCCCTTATTACTATGTACCGCCCCCTTTGGACATTTTTGCCCTTGCCATTTTTTTCCAAAAAGTAAAAAAAAAAAAAAAA